GTATCATGGTTGGAGGGGGTAGGATGACTGGGAGGGAGGAGAGAGAGAGAGAGAGAGAGAGAGAGAGAGAGAGAGAGAGAGAGAGAGAAAGAGAAAGGTGGTAACTGGCTTTCTCCTTTTCTCCCTTTGACTCTATCTAGGCTCCCAGCCAGCCTATGGGAAGGTGCCACTTACATTCAGGGTGGGTCTTTCCCCTTAGTTAATCCTCTCTGGAAAGACTCTCACAGGCACACCTAGGCTCTTCTCAGTTCATCAAGTTGCTTTACTAATCTCCCAGGCACTTTTCAATCCAAACAAGTTGACAGCTAATCATTATACCATATTTTGGGGATATTCGAGTTCTTTGAGAAACCTAGAAAAGCTGTGGGCACTCAGAATAGTAATTTCCTACCTGCTCCCTTTCCCTCCTACCACTACTTCCTAGTGCATATAATTTCATGGAGATTATGAAGCTTTTGTTGTTAACCGCCCCCACCCCCAATAGCAGTTTTGGTTTTGGAAAGTACTGTTGAGTTTACCCATGAGTTAGAAATAATGATCATGTAGAGTACCCTTTAAGTTTGGCACTCTGAAAGTACAAGTTTCTGAGACAGGCATTTGGAATGTCAGACTTGCAGCAGGAGTGGTGGGCATGTGTGAGCCACTGCTGTTTCATAGGCAAGAATTGACAGGGATTGTGAGGACAACTATGATCACCTCTAATATTCCCAGATTGCTGGATAGTTTTGTGTCACTAGGGGTGTTTGTTGGTAATAATGCTTTTAATGTTAAAGATTCAAACACAGTAGGTTAGTGAGTGAGTGAGAAATGAGTCACGATAAAAATGGCACCAAACAAGATGGGGTGGTCTGAGGTATACATAAATCCAGTGTGTGCAGCACCCGAGCTGGGCAGGATGTGCTCTTGGTAGGTTGAGTGCTCTTGGTAGTTGATTGCCTTAGGAAATGTATGATTTGAAGCAGCATTTGTTTTATGGCCACATCAACTTCATGGGGCATTCCTGAGGCAGTTTTCACTTTTGTGTTCATAATGAGCTTATCTAAGACCTGGTGGATTGGAGGGGAAGCCCTCTTCAGACTGGCTTAGAAATGTCAAAGCAGGCTTTGGAAATCCACTGGGGTTCTTGAATGGTGTTTACTGCAGTGTGCTCTTAAGGTTTAATTTTTTATGATTGGTATTACTTTGTCCTCATCCTGAGGTGGTCAGGAGGCCACTAGATATGTCATTTCACTTGTAAATATTTCAGCATAGGCTGTATGTCTCAAAGAATAAACCTTTTTTTTTTTTTGAAAACATATTATTATCAGTATTATACTATTATTACCTAAAATATTAGTTGTACTTACTTAATATCATCAGATTTCTAGTCCTTGTTAATGCTTCCCTATGTGTGTGTATTATGTACATGTTTTTTTGAGGTACTGGGATTTGTGCTCAGGGCCTTGCATTTACTAGGCAAGTGCTTTACCACTCGGGCATGCCCCCAGTCATTTTGCTTTTAGTTTGTCTCTCACATAGGTTCTCAACACTGTTGCCCAGGCTGGCCTTGGACCTCTGCCTCCTTTGAGATTATAGGCATGCACATCCATTTCTGGCCTTTATATGTTTATAATTTTACAAGTGTCTTTTCTGTTTGGATTGAGATTCAATTAGTTGATTTGTATTTAAAGTCTATTTTAAAGTGTAGGTTCCTCTTCCATCTTTCTATTCTTTGATTTTTCCAAAGGGAGCTTTTAGTTTTTATTTCAGTTTTTATTTTTTAATGAAGGGTATATGCCTAAGTGTAGTCTTTGCATTTCTGCTTTTTTTCTTCCCCCCCTGCAGTGCTGGGATCAAACCCAGGTTTGTCTGTTGTAGTTATTACTATTTCACTCAAATTTCTCAACTTTGTTCAGTGGGAACTTCTTAGGTTGGTGCCTTAGGCCTTTTGACCTGACACTTTATCTGTGGGTTTCTCCCAGAACTACTCACAACAAGGCAGCTGTCCTTTCCCATCGCCAGGGCTGGATAGCCCAGGAGAGAGCCAGCAAGACAGAAGTTACAGTGTTTTGTAATCAGCCCCTAGAGTGATAGACCATCACTTGGGAGTGTTTTTGTTCTGGTCGTTGAAGGTGATTAGGTTCAGCTCACACTTGAGAGGAGGAGGTCACACAGGCATGAGCACTGGTGATCATTTGGAAGTTGCCTGTCACAGTTCTTATAATCTTCGATAGCAGTCCTGTTTTCTTGTGTCAGGATTTGGATTGAATTGTTTCTTCAAGGTGCCCTGCTTTCCTTTTGTGGAAAATTGTATTTAGAGGCTTCACTTTAAGGATAAAATTCTGGGTCTCATTTTCAGTGGACAAAACTAGGGAGTACAGGTCGAATATCCCTTATCTGAAATACTTGGGACCAGAGTGTTTCAGAGTTAACATATTTTTTGGATTTTGGAATATTTAAATATGCAAGCATTCATATGTACATTTACAAAAGTTGTGAATTTTGGACCATTTTGAATTTGGGGTTTTCAGGTTACGGATGCTCAGCCTGTGTCCCTCCCTCTCTTCCTTCTTTTCTTCCTCCCTCCCACCCTCCCTTCCTTCCTTCCCTTTTTCAAAGAAAATTTGTGCTACTATTTCCTATTCAGAATCAGAGCTATAGAGTTTTTACTTATCCTTGGCAGTCTTATATTTATATCTCTATTCAATCATGCAAGGGCTACTGTCAGTGGCTCCCAGTGATACCAACATAACTATTAATGTATCACTCACAATGAACAGACAAAAATCTCAGAATAAGAGATATTTCTTATCTGATTCATAAAGCTTGAGGCTACCCTCACTACATTGTGTAATCTGACTCCTCCATGCAGTCAAGCTTGAGATAGGGTCTCCCTATGTCCTACAGTTTGGCTTATTGCTTTGATGTAGTTTTGAGTTTTAGTTGTTTAAAAATAATTTTATTTTTATGTACATTAGTTTCATCATTCTGTATGGATCAAGTTATATTCAAAGAAATTCAACTACTATTCCTGCCCCTTCTCCATTTTCTTCTTTGTCCATAGGTAGCCTTTTGAAGAATACTTGGGCTATCGTTTTTATTTTTACAAATACATGGTAATATTCTATGTAAGAAATTTTTTTTTACCAAAAAACTCATTGATAGTTAAAAATATCATGCCAACAGTGCATGGAATACTACTAAACGTCTACCTTAGCCTCACAGTGCACTGTGCAGTACAGTGTAGAGTGTGATTTGTTCACCCTGTGATCACGTGGCTGCCCGAGAGTCACAGCTGGCTGCTGTTGCCTTGCATCAGCAGAGAGAACTGGACTGCATGTCAATGGCAGAATGCAAGATATGGTTTCTACTAAATACATATCACTTACACCATCATTTAGTCCAAAAATCGAAAGTCAGACCATGGAAAGGCTGGGACTGCCTCAGCTCCTCTGTACCTTGCACTTTACTTCACCATATTGTCATCCTAGTGGCTGTGCCATAGCAGTTTATAGAGATCTTCCTCATTCCTTTTTCATTGGCATGATGCTCTATTGTGTACATATGTGGTCCTTTGTTCTAGATAACTATACTCTTAGGCGTTTTCTTGACTTTTCTGTTGCTTTGTGAGAAATGCCATTTCTAGTGGATGTAACAAGATGATGAGAGGAGAGCATTACCCTGGCTGGTCCAGCTCCTTTTTTTTCAAGTTTCATACTAGTGTCTTTTTCTCTGTAACCAGGTGAGTAGTGCTGCTTTTTCATGAGGCACAGACTTTCATGGTTCCTGTCATTTCATTTTCTTTCTTTCTGTCTTCCAGTTAGAAATTCTTCTAGATTTTGGCAACAACTTTTCACTTATAGCTTCTGATGGTGGCTTCCATTTTGCGTGTCTTCATGTTATATGCATTAGTAAGGATTTAGTGCGATCAGGGATTAATCTTCAGCTGCCATTTAAAATAGCCATGGGTGTGAAAAGTAGACAAAAGAGGTGTTTTAAAATTTTTTGAAATAATCTTTTCTAACTTATATTTTATTTGTGTTGCAGAGAAAAGGATTTGGAGGCCAAGTTCATTATTCAAATGGAGAAAAGCAAAACAACAATCACAAACTTAAAGGCAAGTAGTGACCTGGTCCTGCTCCAGTTCCATGGACCCTATGCTTGCTATACTGTTGGGGTGATGTGGATAAAGGAAAGAAACATGCCTGCCACCTCTATACCCCTCTTTCTACAGTTTAGTTAGCCACACCAGACTCTTGGCTGGGGCTAAGTCCTAAGGCAGAAGATTCCTGTTTCCATTCTCATCTCTGGTTTCATTTGTTCTAGAAGCCAGACCCATGCTGTGTCTTTGTGATGGAGGCTTAGCCTGGCCGTTGACTGCATTCTGTAAAACACTGAGGAAGTTTCAGCCCTAGATTTGTTTCCATCTTTAATGAAAAGTTTCATGGCTTGAAATCCTTGAAGGAAATCTGATAGCTGTTATTCAAAACTCAGGAGATGAAAGATTTAAACACAAACAAGCAGAAAAACCCTGCAATTCTTTGAAAAAAAAAAAAAACAAACAAAAAAACAGAAGAAAGCTCAGGGCTGTCAGAGTGGCTCAAGTGGTAGAGCATCTGTGTACCGAGTGCGAAGCCCTGAGTTCAAGCCCCAGTAGTGCAAAAAAAAAAAAAAAAAAAAGGCAAGTTCTTCCTTTTGCATTTTAAATACCTGATTTTTTCTTTGATCAGTATATTTGTTGATGAATGCTTTTCATTCAGGAGGGAGGGAAACAAAGGTATAAACTTAATAGCGTGGAAGTCACGTGATCATGCACTTTATGGCTTAGCTCCTTTCTCCTTCCATAGTTGTCATTAACTGATAGATTCGGTTTTCTGAAGGTTGCTGCTCCATGGCCAAGTGCAAATCCTCTCCAGTTCATGTCTGAGGAATAGATTTCTATTAATTTGTGGCCCAAGGGGGTGCACACTATGAGATCCTCTTTCAAAGTAGTGCAACTTGATCTGCAGAGATTGAAGTGGAGATCCTCCTATCTTCTATTTGGGCCATGTGCTGGATAATTTGATAGGCCTCCTTTGGGGTTCTGGTATCCCTTGGCCTGAGGCATTCCCCAATGGAATTTTCTTCTGCCTGCATTTACACAGTCCTTGTGTACTGGTGCACATGGATTCTTTCCTCCCTCAGCTTTCTTCATTCTCTTAGGTTCCTTCCAGACCTCACTTGACTGTTCCCTGCTGTTAGCTACCTTGCTTCATGTATCTTGTATGCTTTGTAAACTTTGGTGAAAGGATCCCTGGCTTTGGATGAGCCCCTTTTCTCTATGCATCATGGAATCCATTTGCCCCGATTACTCTGTTGCTTTTTGTGTTTTACAAACATTTCCTCCTCTGATGCTTGAGTAACCAGAATAGATGACCATATTTTGAGTGTTTTAATATATTGCTATCTTAATGGTTAATTTTTAAATAATTGCTTCTTTATAATATGTGAATCATGTTTAAACATATGGTGTTCACTGAAGCTATTTAGCCTATGTATAAGGAACTGTGTGAGGCTTTTGGGCATATGAAGTTTTCTACTTTTTTTGGCAGTACTGGAGATTAAACTCAAGGCCTTAGGTTTGGGAAGTAGGCTTTGCCACTTGAGCAAGTGTCTAGCCCTTTTTATTTTAGTTGTGTTGTTTTGGATCTTATATTTTTCCTCAGGACTGGCCTCAGACCATGATCCTCCAATTTTTCTTCCCAGTATCTGGGATCATAGGTGCATGCCACCATGCCTGGCTTGTTTCTTGAGATGTTAACATGGGGTCTTGCTAAATCTTTCCCCTTGCTATTTTCACACCTTAACCCCCCCGAACTCTACCTCTCTAGTAGCTGGGAGTACAGCAATGTACCACCACACCTGGCCCATACATAAAGATTTTTAAACATGGTTTTTGGGTTTAAGGTAAGCATATAGCGTGGTAGATAATGTTGGCAATAATGGCGCCGATAGGTTTCAGTTCTTACTGCACCCTTAAGCTTCTGTTTTCCAGGGTCACAGTCCTGCCTCCCAGGGTCACAGTCCTGCCTCAAGTCTAGCCTGAGTCCTCCTTCTGCCCCAACCTCCAATCAGCATGAACCATAAGATCCTAACCAGTCAGATCATGCCGAGTCTCACTGAGGGGTATTTAAGCCCCTGCGCCTCTCTCCCTCTCTCTCTTGGCTCTCTCTGCTCTCTCCCTCTCCCACCCGGCAATAAAGAATCTCTTGGCCAGATCGCTCCTCTCCACATGAGAGAGAGCATGATCTGACTGGTTAGGATCTTATGGTTCATGCTGATTGGAGGTTGGGGCAGAAGGAGGACTCAGGCTAGATTTGAGGCAGGACTGTGACCCTGGGAAACGGAAGCTTAAGGGTGCAGTAAGAACTGAAACCTATCTGCGCCATTATTGCCAACAGATAAGACATTTGTAAACATCTGTAGTGAACTCACACTGTGTTGTGTCCCAGAAGGGTTTGAATTCTCAAGGGGGGAAAATTACTTCTGGATGGAGTGCCCCTGGAAAGCTTCATGGAAGAGGAGACATCTGACCTGGAGTTTTCAAGGGAGGCACCAAATTGCACAACGCTGAGTGTTGCCAGTCCCATCATAGTCTGGAGTTGTGCAGTGTCTAGTTCTGGTGGGTTCAAGCAGAGCGAACAGTAAAATATCATTGAAGATGGGGAAACAGAATCTGACTAGAGTGTGTTCATTTAAGTTAATCTAAATATAAAAGCAAGAGAAGTAGCCCTGGGTCATTGCATAGAGAAAAGTGGGTTTCTGGGAGCTTAGGTTGTATTTAAGATTTATTTATTTTTTTGTAGGGAGACCAATAGGAAGTAAATGCTTCTTAGCTCAGTGTATAAATATGAAAAATGGTCATCATTTTATATTTTTAGGGACAGATTTTTTTGTTTCCCTAAATTGGGCCACTTGTCAAATGACAGTATTCTTTATTATTACTATTATTATTTTTGTTATATTTACATTTTTATAATTATTACCATCATACTTATCTCTTTCTAGATACCAGAAGGAGGGACTGGAGACTCAGGAAGAGAACGATCCAAGACCTTTACCTATGATTTTTCTTTTTATTCTGCTGACACAAAGAGTCCAGATTATATCTCTCAAGAAATGGTATGATGTGGTACTTTCAAAATCTTTGTTATTTTCTTAATGAGAAAGTCATGTCTACCTTAAAATACTTTAAAGCATCTTGCTGTTTTTTTCTGAATATAGTTCATATGAAATTAGCTTTTGCTAATTTAGCTTTTTGATTGTTACATAGGACCATTTACTTAAGCCTGAGAAAAATTCAGTTCTCAAAAGACTGTTTTTTTTTTTTTAACCTTTGAATTATGAACAAAATTTTAATTGATTTCAAAACTTGGTCATGATGACTGTTTTGAAGGAGCTCCACAAATAAAACAATTTGGAATGATGTTTGTATGTTTAAGCCTGGCAAATCAGCCAGTTAACCTTGAGTCCTGATCTGATACAGAGCTTAGGAAGTAAACTTCAAGACCAAGTCGCATTTTCCCTACTTTCATGGATCATTGTAGGTTCCAGAAAGGATCTCAGAAAGAAAGAAGGCTTTGTCTAGATTTTTCTAGAACCTAGAATGATGCTGGAATTTGCCCTAGAGACCTTCTCGATATTTTTTTAAGGGCCAAAATATAGATGTGAACTGAGCACGTATGAACAGACATAAGGGTGCCCCAAGGGACCACTGATGGTGACATTTCATGTGAGTAGAAGGCCAGGTATATTTCCTTGGGTAGGGAATGGCTGAGTGTTTGAGCAGAGGAGGAGAGCACTAGCATAGGTGAAAGAATGTGGGCTTCATTGCTGGGCCTCTTCCTGGCTTGCCAACAGCTTCTTTAGATATGTTGCTTCAGGTCTCCAGACTTGACAGAATTCCTGTCCTGCTTTTCCTGAGTTTTAATCCATGCATTGGATTACATTCTGAAAAGTAGAGCATGAAAAAGTTCTAGTGCTTTAGACCCTGAATGTGTCTGTACAGCAGTCAGCCGAATTGCCTGGAATTTGTTAGAAATGTGGAATCTCAGGACCTGTTCTACACCTCCTGAATCAAAAGTTGTTTTATTACTTTTTGTTGTTGGTAATAAGATCCCCAGTGGTTTGCATGTACCTTAACAGTTAAGAAATGTAGTTGGTTTAGAAGTATAGGTGAAGATTGACTTTCTGTGGCAGTGTAATTATTGAAGTTGGAGGACTGGTGTGATTGTATCCCGAAGACATTGAGTCAGCACTAGGGAAAAATGGAGAGGGACAATGATGGGAATGGGAGTGATACAGAGAGGGGAGGTCCTGATGTGAAAGGGTTGATAGAGGAAAGAGTGGTGTTGGAGTTTGCATTGGTGTCAGATACTCTGCTTTGTGTTCATGTGTGTGATAATCTTGTTCAGTCATCACAAGAAGCCTCTTTGTTCATCAAAGAGACTCAGTAAGCTTAAGTAACTTGCTCAAGTTCATAGACCTAATTGACTTTTAATAGTAGGCAGACTTGAGACCCTGGGGCTGAGGTACAGGGAGGTAAAAAAGCACTGCAGTATCTTAGGGTATGGGAGAAAAGGAATGTTGAGTTCTAGCTGACACCTGGGTAGTTAGGAAGCTGGTGAGGAATAGAATGCCATAAATATTAGAGTCCATATTTAGGGTTTAATATAGGAATCAGAATAAAGTGGCAGGAGAGAAGGAATTTGTTCAGGGAGAAAAAACAGTTCATTGGAACCATCTTCAAAATGTCTTCAACACAGGATGAATGAAAAACTTTGAAGGTCCTCTTTTCTAACATGTTTAATGAGTTGTTGGCTTCTTCCTCTCCCTCATTTAATTTTAATTTGAGGTCTTTAGGGGACAGAGGGGTGAGCTGAGGAAAAGCCCCTGAATGAAGAAGTAGAGCATTGTGTGACAGCAGGACCTGGCGTGGTAAATGTTTGCTGACCCAATGAACTTGATTACAGATGGTGGCTAATTTAGAGAACAGATGACATTTCCTGGACTGTGAGTCAGGATCAGGGAAACAGGAAAAAGTTTAGCTCTTTTGAAAGATGGTTTGAAGTCTTCAATTGAAAGGATAACTTTCAATAGGTATATGTGCAGCATTTCTTCTCAGCTCCTTGAGGACTTTTAACTTTACATGAATAATCAGAGGTTGGATTCCAAAGCTAAAGAAGCCCTGTGATATGTTAGTGAATACTACTGTTTATTTCCTATTAATAAGCCAACCTAAAGCTACCTTAAAGTAGCTTATCCCTAATTTAACATCTTTATCATTGCTTATGACTAAAAAGGCTACTGTTTTGAATATGGACTAAAGTTTTAGTGCTGCCATTTCATGCATAGGAAGTGAGCTTTCAGACCGTGTCCTTGCTTAGACAGGGAAAGATGGAAGCTAGCATGATGCTAACTAATCTTCTATCTTTTCTTTCTTCTTCTTTTTTTAATCACGGGAATGTAGAAGTGTATTGAGAAAATTTTTTTTTTTTTTTTTTTTTTTTCATTTTTCTTTTATTATTCATGTGTGCATACAAGGCTTGGTTCATTTCTCCCCCCTGCCCCCACCCCCTCCCTTACCACCCACTCCGCCCCCTCCCTCTGCCCCCCAACCCCCTCAATACCCAGCAGAAACTATTTTGCCCTTATCTCTAATTTTGTTGAAGAGAGAGTATAAGCAATAATAGGAAGGAACAAGGGTTTTTGCTGGTTGAGATAACGATAGCTATACAGGGAGTTGACTCACATTAATTTCCTGTGCATGTGTGTTACCTTCTAGGTTCTTTTTGATCTAACCTTTTCTCTAGTTCCTGGTCCCCTTTTCCTATTGGCCTCAGTTGCTTTTAAGGTATCTGCTTTAGTTTCTCTGCATTAAGGGCAACAAATGCTAGCTAATTTTTTAGGTGTCTTACCTATCCTCACCCCTCCCTTGTGTGCTCTCACTTTTATCATGTGCTCAAAGTCCAATCCCCTTGTTGTGTTTGCCCTTGATCTAATGTCCACATATGAGGGAAAACATACGATTTTTGGTCTTTTGGGCCAGGCTAACCTCACTCAGAATGATGTTCTCCAATTCCATCCATTTACCAGCGAATGATAACATTTCGTTCTTCTTCATGGCTGCATAAAATTCCATTGTGTATAGATACCACATTTTCTTAATCCATTCGTCAGTTCTGGGGCATCTTGGCTGTTTCCATAACTTGGCTATTGTGAATAGTGCCGCAATAAACATGGGTGTGCAGGTGCCTCTGGAGTAACCTGTGTCACAGTCTTTTGGGTATATCCCCAAGAGTGGTATTGCTGGATCAAAGGGTAGATCAATGTTTAGCTTTTTAAGTAGCCTCCAAATTTTTTTCCAGAGTGGTTGTACTAGTTTACATTCCCACCAACAGTGTAAGAGGGTTCCTTTTCCCCCTGCATCCTCGCAACACCTGTTGTTCCTGGTGTGTTGCTAATGATGGCTATTCTAACAGGGGTGAGGTGGAATCTTAGTGTGGTTTTAATTTGCATTTCCTTTATTGCTAGAGATGGTGAGCATTTTTTCATGTGTTTTTTGGCCATTTGAATTTCTTCTTTTGAGAAAGTTCTGTTTAGTTCACCTGCCCATTTCTTTATTGGTTCATTAGTTTTGGGAGAACTTAGTTTTTTAAGTTCCCTATATATTCTGGTTCTCAGTCCTTTGTCTGATGTGTAGCTGGCAAATATTTTCTCCGACTCTGTGGGTGTTCTCTGCAGTTTAGAGACCATTTCTTTTGATGAACAGAAGCTTTTTAGCTTTATGAGGTCCCATTTATCTATGCTATCTCTTAGTTGCTGTGCTGCTGGGGTTCCATTGAGAAAGTTCTTACCTATACCTACTAACTCCAGAGTATTTCCTTAATGGTTCTTCAAAACTCCAAAGGAAGGCTTTGATCTCATTGAACCTGTTCTGTATTCAACCTTGGAGAAACTTGAAACCTAAAATCTCCCAGAGGCCAAGCTGGATGGCAGAGTCTTTGTTTTAACACTGCCCTCTTGTGGGCAATTTCCCCTGCAGTGATGCCTCAGATCAGTGTGAAAATCATCTATAAAGTCTGTGCTTCCATAAGAAGCAGGGAGGATTTGGGGTAACCAGACTAGAGGAGGGGTTTGGGCAGGGTTTTGAAGCCAGCAGGGCCATCACTTCCAAAAAGCTGGCCTCTCCTTCCCATCTGGTGTGGTAGCAGATACTCAGTCTTCCACAGGAGCCTGATAGGGTAGCCTGCTTTCCCTGCAAGACTTCTGGGGATGTGGGCAGTGCCTGCTGTCTTGCAGGCTGACTCTGGGTGGGTTACTTGATGAGACAGATCCAGGCCTGGTCTCCACGCCTCCAGACCTGCATTTTTCTAAACCTGTTCTGCTGTCATGTCCACCAGCCCCAGTCCCCAGGGCCCCTTAAGTTTGTCAGAAAACCACCTGGATGAACTCTTGACTAAGGTAGTAATGAAATATGAGGTGTGGATTTTAACCTTAGGGAAGAATTTAATTAACAAAGTTTCCATGACTTTGTTTTATTCCAGACCAAACTATGAGAGAAGAGCCTTCTTTTGTACTCTGGGAAATTTCTGGAAGTCTTTTTTCCTCCTGTCCAGTGAAAAAAAAGTTGCCTTTTGTTTTTTGTTTAATCTGAGAAAATTGGAGAAATATTTTGAATTCTTAACTCATATTCCATAGACAGTGGTGAAAATGAGTCTCAAATTGGTGAACTGGAGCCCCGAGTCTCCTTGAGATCCTGGCCTTTCCAGATAGAACTAGGGCCTCTTTGTGGATTTAGAGGGTGCAGTCTCTGCTCTGCCACTTATTAATGAGTGCCTGGTTGCCTAACTCCTTTCTAGTCAGTTTTCTCATCTGAAGTCTGATAACACCTCTCCCTGGTAGTGTTTTCATGAGGGTTAATACATAAACATGTGAAAGTCCCCAGTAACTGTGAAATGCTATTATGGTTGGCAGTGGAATAGATCAGGTAAATTTCAGAATAAGATGAGAAAATATCAGTACCTAAGCTGAAAAGGTTAAAAATTAACTCAGAATGAATTACTTTGGCCATTTGTGGAAGTGACTCAACTGAAATTGTAGTTTATAAGTCTTTTAATGATGAGAATGAAGAAACAAAAGTCCAAATAAGATGGGAAGATAATGTCAGAAGAAGGCAGAAGTCCATTTGGTATTTTCATCTCATCCTTGGATGATGGCTGTGTTTTTAATGTGGAACTGAGATCAAGATGGCTGGGTTTAAAACTTGATATACTTGAAAGTCACTTGGGGAGTTTTGAAAAGTACTGCTTTCTGGATTCATACCCTTAGATTCGTAGATTACTGGGCTTGGTTACTGACTTGGACAGCAGGACTTTTGAGCTTTACAGGTGATTTTCATGTGTAGCATAGTCTGCTGCCCTTTGTGATTTGGCAGTAGCTGGAGATGACTTTCTGGTCCATCCAACTGGGTCTCCTGATTTTGACTAACGAGGTATCAATCACAGACTGAGTGCTCCTGCAGGGAGGGTAAGACCTTGGACTGCGATGGTTCCACTCAGGAGCTCCTCACTTTTTCTTGGCTTTGACTATAAACTTGATTGGCTCCCTTTCTTTTGACATCTCTTCAATTACTGATGTATCTACTTTTTGAAGCAGGGATATATTTTAAGTGCCCTTAGTGTGCTGGGCTTAAAGGATGGGAGGCATCAAGAAAGCTCTGGTTGGACCCTTCCCTGCTGACTGTAACTAGGGTGACCTTACATCTCAATTTGTCTCATTTACATTGGTTGTTCTCCTGAAGTATTTGTACTTTATCCTCTTTTACTCCCCAAATTGCAGTTATATGGTGTATCAGATATGAACTTAGGCCATTGGGGGTGTGACCTTTATTCCCACACAGCTTCTCTCCTCACCCTCTCCATCCTGGGAAAACTTCCAAATAGGAAAAAGCATCTGGACTTTATTGTGAGCCCAGCCATTCCAGTAACATCCACACTCACTTACCACTTGGTTCCCCAAGAATCTCCAGAGATTTATCTTGACAGTTAATGGACCCATAAAATAATGGCTCTGATTTGGCATGTTGCAGGCAATAATTTCTGGCTACTGTGACCTTTAGGTTGTGAATATTTACTTTCTAAAAGCTCTGATGGAATGAATAGCTTTGTACATTTATATAATTCTGAGTGGTAAGTCATCATGCTTTAAGATTATCTTTGCTTCTTGACATAATTGTCACTGCCTTGTTTACATTTTTATATTTCAGGAATTGTTTTTGTTAACTTAAATAGGAAAGAAGATGGGGTTGCTTTTTGCTTGCTTAGAAAGTTTACTTTTGGTTAAAAACTGGAGTACATACATAATCTGTTAGCAGTTTTGCACTGATTTATTTATATGATGTAATCCTTAAGTGATGAAAGTAACATTCAAGAATACTGTCAACACTGCAGGGCTTTTATTAAAATTCATCGTAATTGTAACTTGTGTTTGTGTTTTTCTTGGCTTTCAGGTTTTCCAAACCCTTGGCACAGATGTTGTGAAATCTGCATTTGAAGGTTATAATGCTTGTGTCTTTGCATATGGGCAAACTGGATCAGGAAAGTCATACACTATGATGGGAAATTCTGTAAGTTTATACTGCATGGGCAGGAAATTTCTTATCTTTCTCTGGACTGTAAAATTATCTTTTATCTACTTGGTCTGTACTAACGTGCTTTTCATTTTCTGATCATTAATTTGGTAATATGATAAAACCCAGTAATAAGTTGAAGTAAATTTTCTTTGAGAGATTCTAAATTAGAAATAGTTTTAAGTTTATAAGTATGAATAATGAATGTAAGTCCCAGTTCATTTTCCATTTTTAAAGACCTTATAATCTTATCAAGAAAGTATGCTGGGCCAGCAAGTAATTTATTCTCCTTTCCTGCCAACCCAACAGTTTGAATGAAAGTACCAAAGTCTGTTCTTTTTAAAATTATTCAGAATGTTGTCCCCCAAGAAAAATATAAAAAAAAAACTTAACTTTTTGGTGGAAAGGTATTACATAAATCCAAGTACATAAAGTTAAGTCACACAGTCTGTATAGAGTTTATATGGTTGTAAACATAATATATGCAGCTTAGTAGTTTATCTATGTAACTTAACAGGCATTAATGTCTTACTTGCCCCAAAATATGGAAGAATGAACAGTAGCTACTTAGGTAGGAACTTGTTGTGTGTTTTCCCCAAATTTAGACAGTGTTGTGTATTTTATTTTCTTGTGTTGCAGTGAAAGTGCTGTTCAATGACTGGCAAACCTGTGGTACATTGTAGATGTAGAGTTATTAGTAGTGACTTGAGTACTTTCCACCATCAGGCATAGTTGTGTCCTTAGTGCTGAAGGTTTGGGGGCTCATAGAAGTAGTGTATTTAACAGCTGTTCTCAGATGAAATCAGTTCAGTATGTGCAACCTGGTTTCTTAAACCCTGGGTTTTCTTTTATATCAGAAGTAGGTAAGTGTCAAGCTGTGCATTCTTGATGTAGAAAAGTAGGGAAAACAAAGCAGAGAAACAAACAGACATTTCAAGAATTTTACCCTTACCTTTCTTATTACTTCTTACCTTTGGAAAAAACTCTAAAAATGAAACTTGCATGTTGATTTCCTAGTTACTTTATGTCAGTCACACATTTATAAAGCACTTATAAGAGACAAGTGCTTTTCTTGATCTCATAGGCAAGTACAGCTTGGGTAAAGTAAGAGCCATGCTAGGTGCTGGTGGGTCATGCCTGTAATCCTAGTAACTTGGGAGGCTGAGATTGGGAGGATCCCAGTTCAATGTTAAGCCTGGGCAAAAAAGTTTGTGAGACCCTATATCAAAAGAAAAAAATGTGGGCATGGGGGTGGCACCTGTTATCTCAGCTACAAGCAGGAAGCATAGGTTCACTCTGGCCTTGGCAAAAAGTGAGGCCCTATCTCAGAAATAACCAGAGAAATAAAGGGCTGAAGGTGTGGCCCAGCAAGTGCGAAGCTGTGAATTCAAACCCCAGTATGGACAAAGGGGGGAAAAAAGCCAATAATATGGTGAAAAGGTGATTAGAATTTTTACTGATTGAATTGTACAAAGAAAAAAATTTCTTAAAGCCACGATGACATTTCTTTTGCTCTTTGGGTAGGGAGTTGGGTGAAGGTAGAAAGTGACTTGCCAAGAAAACTTATACCTTGGCATTTGGGTTTCCTCCATTTTGCCTGATCCTGAGCCTGCCTCCAAAGTTCACCAGCTTGTTAATCCTGACTAAAGCACACTTATTGGGTGTTATACCCCAATGCATAAGTGATGCCATGTATGAAAATCTTCCTTTCTAGGAAGGCCAGTGTAGGGATTACTACATCAAAGGAGGGACATATCCCGTGTTTTAAGGTGGTCCTGCCACCTAAGTTTAAAGTTTAAAGCCATGAACTATCTGGAGGACTTAGCAACGTTTTCTTGCAGTTCTTTTCTGTTGATGTGTATTTTCCCTTCTTTAGTCTCTAAATCAGTCATTTTTAACATTTATTCTTTAACTCTTGACTGTCTTAGTTGATAGAGAATAAATCTGCTTGTCTTTACAAGCTATGATTTAATTGATCAACCATGTGTTACCAAGTAATTTCATAGAGTAGGAAGTGGTCCCTGAGGGGTTTAACGTCCAGGATTGGCATGCAGGCCCCTTGAGTCTGAGTCTACTCCAGAAAAATCCAAATTCAGTTGTCAGTTGATTTCATTTCACATGACAGCAGTGACATTCCTTCTTCCCATTGCAGGGTGATTCTGGCTTAATACCTCGGATCTGTGAAGGGCTCTTCAGTAGGATAAATGAAACCACCAGATGGGATGAAGCATCTTTCCGGACTGAAGTCAGGTAGGGCCTGTAATCTGACAGAGTGTGAGCTCATTTGGGGCCAAGGCTTCTTGCCTTGCATTTAGATACTGGGCTAGGCCTGTACTTTCCTAAGGAAAGAGTCTGCACTTGAGGTAGTTTGGAATAAAGCTGAGAAAACTGGGCTTTCCATGACTTTCTGGGTGCAATTTGTATAGAAAACACAGTGTGGTTGGAGATTGTAGCTCTCAATGTTTATCTCAAACAGTGAGCCCTTGACTTCTGTGAGTATATCCAACCCATTCCTTTGAGTAAGGTTTGTGTTATGTGCTATGTTAATAGGATCACTGTAAATCTCACCTACAAATAAATCTGGGTGGTTGAGGTATATCTCCCTAGTGGGGGGCAGCCTCTCTAGTGGTTTTGCAGACAGCTGTCTATACTTGTCATAGCCGGTTGGCCTCCTGGTGGCCATGTGACTTTGGACAGGTTATTTGAAGCATGCTATATCTCCCTTGCCTCTACCCTGTAAAATGGGGATAATAGAAGCACCTCTGGGCTATTGCAAGGATTAAGTGAAATTCTCCATGTCAAGTGCCTAGCCATAGTGTGTGACGTACAGTCACACTCTCAGTTGTATGCTCTTGCTGTTATGAGTGTTGCTGTTATTCTTCTAAATCATTTTTCTGAATTCCATTCTTTTTAAAATTTTTAGTTACTTAGAAATTTATAATGAGCGTGTAAGAGATCTTCTTAGACGGAAGTCATCTAAAACTTTCAATTTAAGAGTCCGTGAGCATCCAAAAGAAGGACCTTATGTTGAGGGTAAGCATTTCATACTCGTGTTTTTCTTGGAGATTTGTGTAAAAATAAAGCTTTTGAAGAAAAAAATGTAGTACAATAATGAGACTTTAAAAAGTTGTTTACTTTTGGAATTTTGTAGTAAAAATGACATGAGCTGTCACCATAGAATGTTTATCTATAAATTCAGTCTTCATTATGCATTCACTGGTTTTCTGAGTTTTGCCAGTAGATTTTCTTTGACTTTAAAGCATCTCTAGAAATTTATTTTCCAGTGATTCCAGGGAAGATAAGCAAGCCATAACCTGTCTTTTTCATTGACATTTTGTTTTTAGCAGTATATCTTTACTGACCTTAATGATAATATATGGCAAGAAAGTTATTCTCAGACCTCTTGGCTGTTAAGAGCTTATACAGGATTTCCTGTGTAGTTCTCAGCATCTATGTTGTGGTATACTAACTGTGGCATAGACAATGATAGGGAATGCCACAGGTAATGATGGGTAGAGGACTGGCTCTTGCTAACTGTTTAAAAATAAGCTTTGATTAAGCCATCCTTGTAAGGAAGCAGTCTCACTTTACATCAGGAGCTGAGTAATGGTTGGCCTGCAGGAATCACACATGGAAACATTGACTGTGTGCATTTCATTGTAGGCAAGTCAGTACTGGATATGGGTTTAAAGATGTGCCCATTTTTGGCTGCCTTTTTGCCTTGAGATAGTCAGCTGCCCTAACAGGATCCCATCTACATTTTATTAAGTTTCCATTTGCACTTTTGCCTTCAAGCCCCAAAGTAAAGTGTGCAGCTATGTAGCTGTTTAGGGGTATTTGGAATACCTATTATTGTTAACAATTTTTAGCCTAATATTTGTCTTAATGTTTTCATTTAATTGTCTTATCAGATGTTAAAACATATAAATTATGAAGAGAGGTAATAATCATGGTAAAGCATCTGGAATCTGACCAAGATACTTATGAGTACTTAATTTCTAATAAATGTAATATTTAAATATTGAGAAATACGGATTATTATCTGTCTGGGAGGAAAAACAGAAAGTTATCATCACTTTGATTTTAGACCAGGATAACTGGTAAATGGATCAAATATTTAAATGTAAAATAAGAAGTAAGATGACTACATGACCCCATTGGTTAATTTTTCCAGAAAATTGGAGGAGGGAGGGCTTTAAAAAATTGGACTTAAAATTTCAGAAACCATAAAGGAAAAGAAAAGATATAAATATGAAGTGGTAAAACAAAACTTTATACTTGGCAGAACACTGTAATAAAGTAAAAATCTAGTGCTCTAACACTGAACTATGCCACCTTCCCAGAATACTGATGAATTTTAAATGGAGGAAGTAATGATCAGTCTCACTCATAATGAGAGAAAAGCAAGATGGAACTTCTTCAGCATGATGTCTGTCATCCATCTTTGGCAGATGTAAATGAGTCCAATAAGATGGTGTCAGGGAGACAAGCACTCTCACATATTGCTGCTGCTGAGTATAAATTGCCTTCTGTGGAGGAAAATTTTACAATATGTATCAAAATTCTAATGCCGTTTGTTTTAGCAATTCCACCTCTAAGAATTTATTCTATAGAAACATTCCTACACATTTGAAAAGACTTAGGTACAAGATTATTTGTAGCAGTATTACTTGTAATTGGAAACAAAGTGTAAATAACCTCTAGTCTCAGGAGAAGACTAGTTAAATTGGTTATGGTGCATACATACACTGCAATCCTGCAGCCTCAAAGGTGGGTAAGAAATCTCCTTAACTGCTATAGAGTGTTCTTTGATACATATTACATGAAGAAACAGGATGCAAAATCATGTGTATGCTCTATTTTTTTGTTGTGGTGTTGGCGGTGCTGTGGATCAAACCCAAGGCTTCACACATGCTAAACACAAGCTCTAGCACTGAGCCATACCCCCAGCTCAGAATGGTACCATTTGTATGAGAGGGGCAAAAGGTGGTTTCACATATATGTAATGCCTTATTATATATGAGTTATTTCTAGAAGGATATGAAGAAACTGAGAACATTTGGTTTTGTGACAGAAAGGGAAGGAAGGAGCAATGGGAGAGCTTTTAACTTTGGATCCCTATGGATAGTCCCTCAAAAAAGAATAAAAAATTTTAAAGTATTTAAAAATATTTTTAAGTCTTAGGCTTTGCATGGGGTAGTGCTTTTAAATTCTTTGTCTTTGTTCTGTGACTGCTGCTAGCAGATTGATGTTAGTAGCTAACATTTATCCTACTACCCTATGTAGTGGGTATGTAGGTGAGGTAATTGTGGTCCCACAAGGTTAATCAACTTACCCAGTTCCTGAGACTATGTTAAGATACTACCACATTATAGAACAATGAGGTCTTTAAATAGGTCAGCAGATTTGTAGTCACACATTATTTCTTAGAGGGAAATTTCTTATAGCCTTCACTGTATAATAGGGGTATTTTTTGTCTTCAACCCCTCATTTTTTTCTTTCCAGATTTATCTAAGCATTTAGTACAGAATTACGGTGACGTGGAAGAACTTATGGATGCAGGAAATATCAATCGTACCACAGCAGCAACTGGGATGAATGATGTCAGTAGCCGATCTCACGCCATCTTCACCATCAAGTTCACTCAGGTAAGGGCAGCTGTGGGGCCAGCCCATGCCCTCCCTGAGGACTTTACTTGCTGATTAGCACCAGCTGAAGCGGATTGTTGTTGAACCAGGAGCTACAGCAACAAAGGTGTCTGTCATTTCCTTGTTAATTAAAGTTGAACATGTGCTGTGTGCTGAGTTTTTTGGTGGTTACAATCACAGTAATTTTAAGTGTCCTGATGTGTATCCTTAAGAAATATTTAGCAGGCTCTACCTTGTTCAAGACATAAGAAAAACTTGCTCCATGCCTAATTAAGTAAAAGTTTTCATTGTGTAAGCTCTGTGGGAGATAATGGATTGTAAGTCAGACCAGCTGGAGGCCAAGCTGAGTGACTGAGGGCAGTGCATCATCGCTCCATGAAGCTCACCCCACAGTGTTGACTATGATTATTGGAATGATATTAAAGGACAGCGAACATTTATAAGTACTAATGTGAGAATTCATTACGATCAAGTAGTGGAGAGCATCTTTAAAGTGGTAAATAGTTTAACACTGAGGCCAATAGAGCATGTGAAAACACAAAGGCAGGGTCCTCTCAGAGCTTAAGTTTTTTTAGGGGTTGGGATGTCTTTGCCCACATCCACACTTGAACACAGCAGAAACAACAAGACAGCATTTTTTTTTTTTTTGGGAAAGAATTTTTTTTTTTTCATTTTCTTTTATTATTCATATGTGCATACAAGGATTGGTTCATTTCTCCCCACTGCCCCCACCCCCTCCCTTACCACCCACTCCGCCCCCTCTCTCTCCCCCCCCTCAATACCCAGCAGAAACTATTTTGCCCATATTTCTAATTTTGTTGTAGAGAGAGTATAAGCAATAATAGGAACAACAAGGGTTTTTGCTGGTTGAGATAAGGATAGCTATACAGGGCATTGACTCACATTGATTTCCTGTGCGTGGGTGTTACCTTCTAGGTTAATTCTTTTTTGATCTAACCTTTTCTCTAGTACCTGTTCCCCTTTTCCTATTGGCCTCAGTTGCTTTAAGGTATCTGCTTTAGTTTCTCTGCGTTAAGGGCATCAAATGCTAGCTAGTTTTTAGGTGTCTTACCTATCCTCATCCCTCCCAAGACAGCATTTTATTAATGAGGGAATCAGAGATCAGGAAAATAAGAACGTTCTCTGGGTTCTCTGAGGTCAATCAGAACACCTCCTTTTCCATCCTCCACATCTTTACCTTTTTGTTAACCCTTGCTTTGATTGCTAGCAGTTTACTGGTTGTCCTGCTTTATGGTTAGTGCTTTGTTAGGACATGCCTATCTCTGGTTTCTAAGAGGTTTACATTTACATCAAAATCTTTTTTTCTTTTGCATTTTGTTTCAAAATATAAAAGGTAGGTTAAAAGAAGTCTTTGGAAAAGTAAAATTTTGGTAGAATTTAGTACTTAATATTTCACAAATATTTTATTAAATACTGGCCAAAAGAACTTTTACACAATTGTCAACATTTATTATATTTTGGAGAGCCTTTGTGCTGGAGCATCCAGATAAGAATAAAGCTAGTTATTTGTTTTTCTTTACTGAATGCCCTTTAAGGCCTGGTTTGATAGTCTGCAGCATTCTGATTGAGTAGGGCTTTGTTGAGAATGACAGTGACTTGAGTAATGGAATAGTTTTTCAGAAAGCTTAAGAATCACATGTGGTAGACTTCTGTTGTACTAAATTTAATTTTGGAAGTTTTTATAATCATTATGAAGGCCAACAAATGAAAAAAAAATCAACCCTGAGAGACCTCAGTGAGGAGTGTAAAATAATTGGAATTTGTATCATAAGCAATATCGGAGCCCTTTGTACCTATCAGTTTTACTTTTCTGTGTTACTATAGGCAAAGTTTGATTCTGAGATGCCATGTGAGACCGTGAGTAAGATTCACCTAGTTGATCTTGCTGGAAGTGAGCGCGCGGATGCCTCCGGTGCCACCGGGGTCAGACTCAAGGAAGGGGGAAATATTAACAAGTCTCTAGTGACTCTGGGAAATGTCATTTCTGCCTTAGGTAAGTTCCTGCTCACTGCTGCCTCATCTTTTTCCTCATGGTACTGTTCAGCCTGAAGCAAGTGTTTGTCTTTCAAACTGAGGCAACATCCTCGAGTTTTTTTGAAGCAAAATTGGAAAAACAGATACTTTAGTAATTATCCTTTCCTCTTTCTTGTTTCTGCTCTCCTAAAGCCGATTTATCTCAGGATGCAGTGAACCCTCTTGTGAAGAAGAAGCAAGTTTTTGTGCCTTACAGGGATTCTGTTTTGACTTGGTTGTTGAAAGACAGTCTTGGAGGAAACTCTAAAACTATCATGATTGCCAGTAAGAGTTTTAAGTTATTTTCCTGAGATCCAGTGTTTCCTGTGAATTACTTGTAAATATTTAGGTTGAAAGTGTCTCATTAGGATATAGCACCTTTTATATCTTAAAAAAAATAATGATTTTTCTGTCTTGAAAATTATCCACTGTATCTGGTCTGCAGCATCATATTAGCTGTTATGTAGACTTGCCATGTTATGGAAGGAAGCTGTAATCACCTATAGAAAAACTCAGCTTTATTTCACTTAAAGTGCCTGGAAGGAGCTTTTAACTTTACTAACTTGTAGGAGAAAATCTTTATAGGGTCACAAAGTAAAAAATAATCCCAACCTTTTCTATTTAATGCAGTAGATTCAGAATTATAATTAAAAACCAAGAGAAAAAAAATCAATAAATATAACAAATAATGATAGTAGTAATGTACTTTATTTCTACATTGATGAGTTTACTGAAAGTAGCTGAATTAAAAAAATATGTAGAAAGAGGATAACTCAAGAACTCTTTCCCTCCTAGCTCCACTTGCCTCTCCTTCTTATTTCTACTCTGCACCCCTGTCATGCATTAGCTATGGAGGCAAGGTCCCGATCTTGGGCCGTAAGCTCCATAAGCAACTGTATAGGCCCCCAGTCTTAAAGTTCAGTGGCAGTAGTGGGGTGGAATTAACCAAATCTTCCAGAAGGAAAAAATTAACTAGTCTACTGGCTCTTGAAAAACTGTCATGCTCTGGAATTTTACAGATGGTGGTTTTTCCAGAAATTTTCAATGCATTTTAATTCTTGCTTAATGTTGAGATATAAATAGTCTTGATGACATCCTCTTGTTACATTTTCATTTGAGAAAACTCCTTGATTATGGTGAAGTTTCTCATAGCTTATCTTAAAGTTGTTTTGGTGACTGATTCTAAGACTTGAGAAGAACAAAATGACATTTAATTTGGTATACTGAGCAGCCTTTCCTATAAATCTTAGATAATTGTTAATATTCATTACTGTGGCAATGAATATTTAGTCTATCCAATGACCTGAGGTTAATCTGACTTTTAAATTACCAACTAACTTTGTGTTAAATGAAACATGGAGTGCTGGATAAATTATTTTTCAAATTCATTCTTCATAGCCATTTCACCTGCTGATGTCAATTATGGAGAAACCCTAAGTACTCTTCGCTATGCAAATAGAGCCAAAAACATCATCAACAAGCCTACCATAAATGAGGACGCCAACGTCAAGCTCATCCGTGAGCTCCGAGCTGAAATCGCCAGACTAAAAACACTGCTTGCTCAAGGGAATCAGGTTGGGTTTTTCTGAGATTTATAGATAATTTTCTTTGAGTCATGGCATCTATTTCTAGATCTTAATGAGACAATTATCTCATGGTATTGATTTGAGTAAATAAGTGCTAAGTAAACCTTTGAATGAGTTAGCCAATCACTCCTTTACATCAGCTGCCTGCTGGCCTTTGCATTCATTATGTGCTCCATGCTCCGTGTAGAAGATTTTATCCACCAAACCTGAAATGATTAACCGTCTAGTAGTTGTCAGTTATGGATAGAACTTAGCATGCAGTAGGATCAGCGACATAATCTCCATTAGTAGAGAGAAATTGAGATGCTTAGCGTAATACTTAAAATTCTACCCATGCATTTTATGACTTTAAAGTATATTTTACAGAGACAAACACTTTCTTGAACACCTTTCTGAATCTTTATTTCTATTGGCTATCACACAGGTGGCTAGGTACAGCTGTGCATTGTATCTGTTGTCTGGCTGCCACGCTGTCCCAGGGGCCTTGCTGAAATGGCCTCATTTCAGGAACTTCTGTGATTCTAGTTAAAAGCCTTGTCCTTTTGTTTCTCCAAGTAAACTTCCTTATAGTCTGAACAATGTGCACAGAGTTATGCTCTGTGACGACTAGTGTGAGTTGAGTAATTAGAGGCTTAGATACTGTTGTGAAGAAAGACCACCCTTGGAAGAAAATTAGGGATAGATTTTTATACTGTTGAAGTTAAGACTGCAGTTAGAAATAAAGATACATTCCATCCCATTTTCTTAACCCATGAATGGATGTCTTTAGTTATGTCATTAGAAGACATAGTTTTTTTAAATGTGAAATGGTCCCCTAGAGCAGTGCTTTCTGTGAAAGAATATATGACAACTGAGGCTCCTGACATCCAATAAATAATTTTATCTATGAGAATAATGACAGAATAAAAATCCTTACAGCTCTGAAATATAACTGACAGTCCTTTCCCACAAAATGGCCAACAACAGTAGAACAGGAATCCTTCATTGTACTTAAAAGTATCTCCACACACATTTTGTTTCATGATGTAGAGGAGCTTTCTGTGTGTGGAAAGGAAGTCATCATAATGAATAATACAGGTGAATGTCATGTTAAAACTTATAACAATGACCATAATAAACCATAATAGTCATTTTTATTTATACATTTTGTTATTGGTATCCTTGTTTAGTGTTTTCCTTGTTTTTTTTTTGTTTGTTTGTTCTGGGGATTGAACTCAGGGCTTCATGCTTGTGTCTTTGGACAGTGTTCTTTTTAAACAAAAAAGAGCCTTATCACACAGACAAAATTATTAAAACTTTCCCAGCAATGTCTTCAGAGATATTAATATGCCAAAGTGTCGCCTTATAGTTTGTGATTTTTTTTCCTGTTTTTTCATGACCTAAAACTACTGCTGCAATTAAGGGGGCATTTTTGTTACTCTTGTTTATAGAGTGAGGATGAAAAAGTCTGTTTTATTGCAAATTAAGGATAAAATTCTTCGATAAATTTCATATACACATTACAATGAAAATGGGAGTCTAATTTAAAATAATTTATCTTACTCTGAAGCTATAAATTACTGAGACAATAGACATTTTCTAAATTAATTAAATTTGTGACGCTTAATAAAACAAGCAGGTGTTCTTAAATGTTCATTAAAAGTCTCTGAATAAATCTTTCTGAAGACGTTGTTCTCTTCCTAGAATGTTCTGTTTCAGATGTGTTGTGGTTCATCAAAAATGTTACTCAAATCAAAGTTCCATTTGTAAGGTTATTTATTTAAGCACAGCTAAATAAAATTTAGCTCCTACATTTAATAATTTTTACATATTTGCCTTTGCAAATGTCATGTGTTAAGAGTTTTAAAAGCAGAAGATTCTGGCATGTATTGTATTTCCTCCTACTACAGAGGTAGAGGTATACAGATCTGATCTGCATGTTGTGGTTTGTATGTATATGGAATTTTTACTGAAGGGTTACACAGATACAGAGAAGTCACATTATATGTGTATAGCAGTGAGTTTTTACAAGCTCAATTCACTCATCTAACCTGCACCCACCTTAAGAAATAACATCTCTAGCCTCCTGAAAGTTGCCCTAAGTCCTTTCCAGGAACTACCTGCCCTTCCTCTTAAGTGTAAACCTTTTCCTGACTTCTACAAGCATAGTTTTTAGTGCTGCCTGCTTTTGTTTTTATACAAGTGGAATTGTGCAGTATGTAATATTTTGATTTGACATCTTCCATTGCACGTGGGTGTGGATCCATTTACTCTCATTGCTGTTTTGTATCCCCTCATATGAATATGTCCCAGACCATTTATTCATTCAATTTTTATGGGCATTTGGAAAATTTCTTGTTTGGGACTATTAGTGCTGCCATAAACTTTCTTCCACGTGTCTTTTAGTAAATTTATAGATGCATTCTTAGGTTTATGCCAAAGAATGGGGTTGGTTCAGTTTTAGTAAATACTGATCAAACAATTTTTTTTTGTTTATTCATATGTGCATACAATGTTTGGATCATATCTCCCCCGCCCTCTCCCTTCCCCCCTCACTTTCAAGCAGAGACTGTTCTGCCCTTATCTCTAATTTTGTTGAAGACAGAGTATAAACAATAATAAAGAAGGACAAAGGGTTTTTGCTAGTTGAGATAAGGATAGCTATACAGGGAGTTGACTCACATTGCTTTCCTGTACATATGTGTTATATTTTAAGTTGATTCTTCTCGAACTGACCTTTTCTCGAGTTCCTGATCCCCTTCTCCTATTGGATTCTGTTGTTTTAAAATTTCTGCATTAGTTCCTTTGCATTGAGGATGTCAAATACTATCATGTTTTTTTGGGTTTCTTACCTATCCTCATACCTCCCTTGTGTGCTCTCGCCTTATCATGTGACCAAAGTTCAATCACCTTACTGTATTTGCCCTTGATCTAAAGTCCACATATGAAGGAAAACATATGATTATTGGTCTTCTGAGCCTGGCTAACCTCGCTCAGGATGATGTTCTCCAGTTCCATCCATTTACTTGCTAATGATAAGATTTCATTCTTCTTCATGGCTGAGTAGAATTCCATTGTGTATAGATACCACATTTTCTTAATCCTTCATCAGTAGTGGGCATCTTGGCTGTTTCCATAACTTGACTATTGTGAATAGCGCTGCAATAAACATGGGTGTGAAGTTGCCTCTGGAGTAACCTGTGTCACATTCCTTTGGGTATATCCCCAGGAGTGGGATTGCTGTATCATATGACAAATGTATGTTTAGATTTTTAAGAAGCCTCCAAATTTTTTTCCAGAGTTGTACTAGTTTGCATTCCCACCAGCAGTGTATGAGGGTTCCTGTTTCCCCACATCCTCGCCAACACCTGTTTTGGTGGTGTTTTTGGTGATGGCTATTCTAACAGGGGTGAGGTGGAATCTTAGTGTGGTTTTGATTTGCATTTCCTTTATGGCTAGAGATGGTGAGCATTTTTTCATATGTTTTTTGGCCATTTGAATTTCTTCTTTTGAGAAAGTTCTGTTTAGTTCAGTTGCCCATTTCTTTATTGGTTCATTAATTTTGGGAGAGTTTAGGGTTTTGAGTTCCCTATATATTCCGGTTATCAGTTCTTTGTGTCAAACAGTTTTTAAAAGTGGTTACACTAGCTTGTACTCTACCATCAGTGTGTGAAAGTGCCAATTTTGGTTGCTACAGATCTTTGCCACCAGTTGGTATTGCTGATTTCTCACTGCAACCAGTCTGATGGAGATACATGAGAATTACAGAATGATTTTACTTTGCACTTCTCAAATGATTAATGAAGTTGAGCATTTCGATAGCTTCTCTTATCAAGTGTGTTTTGTTTTACTACATTTAAAATTTTTCAGATATTTCTCCTTTTGATGTGGCAGGTAGAGAGTGAATGTTTTTTACTCCCTGTTCAAGACAGCTGAATGCATTTGGAGACAAGCAATTAAACAATATAGAAATAAAATAAACAACAGAAGTGAAGTGGCAAAACTGATAATGAAGAAGAGAAGATACGAGTAGAATGGATTCCTCATTTTTGTAGCTGGGGCCAACAATAAATTTTAAATGAAAGTAGTATCATTATATAGAAACTTTAAAAGTAGATACATCTTAGGGCCACAGAGTAAAAGCTCAGTTATATAGTACTTGTAAGCCTGGGCAAGGGCCTACCAGTTAATTGAAGGAGAAAGAAAGCAATGCAAAACCTGAGGTATATGAGCCTAAAAAGATCACTTTTTTGTGACAGAGAGTACAGTTCTCAGTTAAAACCAGACATAATATCAACTTTCATGAAGGAAATGGAAAAAGTCCACCAAAATTATTGGAAATGAGTGAGTCAGAATCACACTCGTTTGCCACAGAAAACTTTAACTCTGATTCTCAGGTACAAAAGTAAATCAGGATTTGGCATACACATTATCAAAGTTTGCTCTAATCAATAGAGTACAGAGAGGGAAAAATGTTGCAGCACAGCTACTTTCCTTTTTATGAAAAGAGCATTTATAAAAAAGTAAGAACATTGCAACCCAACAGAAAAGTCAAGAAACAATGTGAGCACAGTTCATAGAAGAAAAGTTTTGTTTGGCTTTCTGAACATATGAAAAATATGTTCAATACAATAAATAATTTTAATTATAAAGTATATTGGCAAGAATAGAGGTAAGAAATGCTTATTTATGTTGTCAGAGTTAATAGTGCCACATTTTTGATATAGTATTATTCTTGGTTCATTAATACTGACTTAATCTGAACACAATTTAATTGTGAACATTTTTCTTCTAAATGGATATCATGTAAAGAATAGTTTAATTGACAGTGGTTTACTTTACCTGTTGTTGTCTCTGAAAGGAATTAAGTCTTTCTATACACATGCTTCAAAAATAATTTTCCCAAAGAGCTGGTGGTTATAATAGCCTTCTGTGTATATAATTCAGTCAGTGATATTTACTAAGCTGCTGATAAAGTAAGAATGTTTCAGCTCTGATTATAGATATAAAAGTCTGACAGTGGATTCTGTACATTTAGCTGTCTTATAAAATTCTTACTAGTTGTTTTGAAAATTGTCAACCCTACATAAGCAATGCAATCTTAGTCTGTCACTTTCATTTCGTCAATGAAAAATATTCATGAAGCACCACATGTGTACAAGGCGACATGCTAGGTGCAATGACACTTTTTAGTAATGTGTTAACAAAGCTTCGTTTTCCTTTGCTGAGGATGAATTTGACCATAGGTTAACTTCACTCTGTAAACCTGGTAAAACTAGATGCCAGCTGTATAACCAGGCATCATCTGTAATGAGAAAAACAAGCTCTAATGAATTACATCTGGATCAGGATGAATTATATATAAACTGTTAACGGCAGCTGAGAAGCTGTAGCTTTAGGTTCCAGAGGACAGTGACTTCTGTAATGTGTGTGTCCCTGGCAAGTCCCCTGGAAGATGTGCCTAAGGTGTCACAAAAGATGCTGGGTTCTAGGGGAAAAAAAAATAGCAAGATGCTGTGTCCTGAGGGGTATGGGCTTCTAAATCAAAAATGACCCCACGCGTGCCCGTGTAAATCTCCACTCCTCATGTGTGAGTGGTTACTCAAGAGGGCCAAAGACCTGGCTGATTTGAGGACTCTTGTGAAGACTATCACCAGCTTCTCACCTACCAAGAAGAACCTGCTGCCCTGCAGGCTATCTCTGCTTTCTGTTGAGTATGCAGATAATCAGTGTGGCCCATGGTTGCCTCAAACTGAATGTTTAACTGAGCCTAAGAGAACTGCCTTGTGGCTGCTTTTGTTTGAATAGAAATTGAAAAGTAAATAGTAGTAAAAAACAGAGCCTCTGGGGAGGACAACTTGCAATTAAAAAGAATAATGCATATAGATGACTTACAAATTCCCCTTCCAGGAATTTATTCTCTTGATACAGTAGTGCATACCGTCTGCAGTTGGCATAAGGATAATCATTGTAGCACTGCTGGTAGAGAAAAAGATTAGAAAAAACTACATTTATCTTAATAGGATAGATTATGCTTACAGGGTAAATTATAGGAAAGACATACGATGGAATACCATACAGCAGAAATGAAGTTGTTAAAAAGAAAGAAGCAGTTTCCCATTTTCCAATATATGGTTGATGGGAAAAGGCAATATTCAGAATAATGTCTTTATCCATTTTTGTTTAAAAATGCAGCAACAAACATGCTGACATAAGACCAAAATAACTGCACGTTTACGCAGCAAATAGGGAAAGAGTGATTGCATGGTGGGTGGGAGACTCCTTTTCTGTTTGCTTCCTGTGACATTTTATCAAAGAAAGACAGACAGAATAGGGAGCTCCATGTTCCTGCCACTCCTATCAGACCTAAAAGGTTAGAAATGCAACTGAAACCCTAGTCGAGTTCCATTTTCTTCTTCTTCCTCTATTTGTCCTTCCCAGTTCCAACCTGATTTTGGTGCTTATCTTTCTCACAGCAATCTTTACACTTCTGCAACATGGATAAAGAAATGGATGGATAGAATGTAGTGTAACCATGCCACACATTGAATACCATCCAGCAATGAAAATAAATAAGTTCTACTTGCATATTTTAACATGGATGAACCTCAGAAGCCTGTGGTTGATTAAGACTTAAGCATCTTATCTTTTGAATTTTGTACTTTGTGCATATTCAAACAGACAAATCCTTAAGACCTAGGGATTTAGATTGTGTTTGATTTTGGGAAAATGTCACTACGTTATGTCTTTTGCTTTGCCAATTTGTATTGCACATGTAGCTTTACTAATATGCTATGGTTTTGGATATTGTGAGATATGTATAAGAGAGTTGGTGATAATTTATAATTTTTTGGGATTGCGTGTGGCATTATTTTTCACTACTATTTAATAAGTTTTGTTTACATTTTTAGTAATATGTTTATGGAAGAAAAATCCTTACTGTGCATTATTGCTATTATTAATTGCTGATGTATTTTATGATTTGAATTGTAGATTGCCCTCTTAGACTCCCCAACAGCTTTGAGTATGGAGGAAAAACTTCAGCAGAATGAAGCAAGAGTAAGTGATAGTTTGACTTGTTATTTTTTAGAACATAAAATATACTATTTTTTAAAGTCTTCTTTCTAATATTTACCATTGGGAAATATTAGTAATATTTTCTTTCTTTGTTACACTTATCCCCCCACCTAACCCCATAATCATTTTTTAAGGTGCACAATAATTAGCTTTTTATGTATTGCAGACATTCTCTGGGATTTAATAAATAGGATGATTTATATGCAAATATGATTAACTGCACTTAAATTCACATGCAGGCTCTCTTGACAAAGCATTGGAGTCATTTGGACGATCAGAGTAGACAGGGTCCTGGGGGCTTGAGAGAGGCTGTGTTCAACATTCATGGAAATAGCAATGGTCCCCACAGCTTAGCAATGAGCACTGTTTAGCTTTTTGTCATCCCTTTACTTTTTTTCCAGTGGGCTGGTCAGCATTTGGAGAATCTATGAAGGAGAGAAGGGCAGTGAGTGAGCAGGAGAGATAATACTGTATAGGTTGTGGTGGGCTGAAGCTGATGAGTACATGTCTTGAACAAATGACCTCTGGGAAAAGAGAAACAAACATCGAAACAGTTTTTGGAATAACTTCTCTTCCTGGTGCTTGATGGTTAAAATAGAAAAAAAAAAAAAAAAGATTTCTCTTGGTAAAAACTCAATAATACACAATGTGGAAGTTGTAGTTAGGAACTTGTTGACACTTCTCTGGATAATTATGTTGATTAATGTGCGATAATAGCGTTGGGAAAAACATCAGTTCCTTAATCACTGCTTTTCTTATGAAATTTTGTATTTTAGTGATTCAGATTCTAATTTTGAGTGCTGTGAAGTACCTGAATATAGTTTTAAATTGTTTATCAATTATTGTTTTCAGGAATACCTAGCAAGTTAATAGAAACCAATAAACATTTTAATTTGAATGCATTATACATGCTGTGACAGAAATGACTATCTTATTCATCACATTTTCTAAATTTTTGCTTAGTTTTTTTGCTGACCTTTTAAAATTGTTTGCCCTTTGCTTAGCTATACGTCTCACCACCTCATGACATTTTTAGAGGTGGTATCACATGTTTACATTTTTTATGAATGTTTTAAATAAAGATTATTTGACTTATATATAATGATAAAATAAATCCAAAATGTTCTTGTACTTTTTTAAAGCTAGAATTATTTGACTCAATTTGAAAAGGCTTATTAATTGGCTTTCATTTTTTTAGTGAGAACATAGCTGCTGGTGAAATGCAGATTCCCTTGTTGAATGCTTTGTGTTCTCAGATAAATTGCCAGTGAGAATCTGTTCACTGGTTAGTATAAATTAATGAATTCAATATGCCAGTCTTTTGCTTTTTGGTAGGGAGAGAAATCAAGCATATCCCCTCCCTGAAAGCCTTTTCAAAACAAAAAGTAGCCCCCTTAGCCACCTGCCTTTTATTGTTACCGAGTCTGGAGTTGGTATCAGTGAAGGATTGTAGGGTACGACTTGCTTCTTATAAATCAGCACAGCCTTATCAAAGCATTAGAGACGGGTAGACAACAAAGATGAGGAGGCACTTTCCTGTTTCTCTTGTTTTGCACAAAGATGGTAGTTTTGGACACTAAAACTAGTTAAAGAAGAAACACTGTCTTTTTTTAAAGTTAACCATCGTGTTTGAGGTAAATTGAGTGGCCACTGAATGATTGAATGTGGGTGGGTGAGACATGTATTGGTTTCTCTCCAGGAAGAGCCACTGCGTCATATCCTCTGTTCTCATCAACAACATGCTTGCTTTTGTCAAGGTTGCTGACGTGAATGCCTTTTCCAATTACTGTGGCACATGGAAAGCACCTTCCTCTTAGCAGTAAGGGTGCAAGCAGTTGTATTCTGTGTGTCCAATTTGACCTGGTTACATAGGGGGCTCCCCAGTGGGAGAATGGGCTGGTGTCTGCTGTTGTGAGTGAAGAGGAGGCACAGAGAGGAAAGGTCCTGAGAGGACAGTGTGCTCCTTCCTGAAGTTATTCTTTTAGCCCTAGGTATCTTTTCCACAGACCAGATTTTTCATTCATTTTTTTTCTACCTCTCAATTCAGGTATCACTTTTTGCTTCTCAATGAATTAATCCATGAGGATCACCTAAACAGTTTTCTGCAAGTAGCAGAAAATTTCCATTAACTTAGAGAAGCAGTTTCCAGTGTGTTGTATTCAACAATTGAGAATTGTTATCCCCTAAGTTACAGCTGACTGCAGAGTGGCTGATTTTTATCAAAAGATTTTTGCTTCTACTGAAACAGTCAGTTAAAGAACCACTTTTTAAAAAGAAAGATAGAATGAGATTTATAAACCCATTAATTAGCTACAAAAGCAAATTATCTCCTAAAAAAGAATTGCAGTATCAAGGTGACTTAACCACCACATCTAATTAGAAAGAAAAATAAATGACTATTTCTCAGGGCCTAAAATATAGTCAGGAAAAATTAACTCATTTAATGGAATGTTGTCATTCTCATACTCAAAATTTTGGTTAATAATAAAAAAGGAAGCAGCTTTTATTTAACTATACATTCACTAATTGCAGTGAAAATTGTAGGTCATTTGACACTTTTCTTTCTGACTTTTCTTTGCCATAATGTAGGTGGTATGATAAGATCGGTTTGTTTGATTTATATTTGGTGATGGTTCTTTCAGGAATAGAAATTGCTAGCTAATTAAAAATAATTACAGCACATCTCTCCATAAAGTATAAGAATTTGGAAACTTTTTAGAAGAAAGTAAATCAATGTTTTAAGTCTAGTAATCATATATGTATATTTTATATTTTTAGGTTCAAGAGTTGACCAAGGAATGGACAAATAAGTGGAATGAAACCCAAAATATTTTGAAAGTAAGGGCTGTAAAAAGATGTCTTAGTCTTACTGTGGTGTTTTCTGTACGTAAAACTCTTTTTTTCCTTCCCAACATGGCAATTGTGAGCTTTGCTTATGGTAAGATCTATGGAGCTGATTAGTAACTTTTGCTAGATGGGGGTTCTGGTTTGATTTTGAAAACAAAAGGGAAAGTAGGCTATTAGACATTAAAGCTGGGAGTTTTAATGTGTATAGATAATGTTGGTATTTAAGGTGCTTGCTTTCATTTGTTGGAGTGTTTCCATTTTTGCCTTAGCATGTATTAGAACAGTATTATTGAAGGCCATCCACTTTGTCTTTCTGCTTTTCCTAAAGACAATATAAAAGCAATGTATTGAATAAAAAATGTATTCAATACATTTTTTATCCCATACTTGCATAGGATGGGTAGATTTCAGAAATGTCTAAACTAGTAATTTTCTGTGAGAACTTTTTTCTGAACTGTGATGGTTTGACTTCTGACAAGATTCACTAAGAAAGAATATTACAAATGATCTCCACTTTTCATGTTCTGTGCTTCAAAATATATTCCTTCTCCATTTTTTGCCGACTTGGTTGGTAGAAAACCTCTGTCACCTGTTGAGGGTCAGCCACATCAGGTTTGAAGTTGAGTTTGAATATTGTACTTTGTTGACATCTGACTGACTTTATGGCCAAGAGAAGGCAATTCAGACAAATCTAGGGGTTTTGAGGTCTGTTGAGGTAGAACTGCCTCAGAGCATTAAAATTAAATGCCGTCTAATTTTGGCAAGTCTAGATTGATGAGGTTTAACTGAATATCTTGGCAGAATAATTACTTGATCCTCTTCACATGAAAATAGCACATCACTGGTTTATTATCACAAGCACTAATTTGTGGGGGCAAATTTGAAGGCCTGGATTAGCTATTGATTTCTGAATCTGCAAGAGCAGGGTCAGCCTTACACAAGGAAGAGGTCTCCTTGTGCCAATAGGCAACTTGCACTGCTCTGACTTAAGTAGACTTTCTCATGAGGTTAGAGTTCCTTATGTTCTAGGTTGTGGTAGATTGGGATGGACCTATGGACCTTTTTTCCAGCTATAGAAAGCACTATGCTAAGTGAGGGCTTTTGCGTCCAGATTTCCTTCTCTCTTCTCTTGGTCATAATGAGAGCAGCATATTTCAAAATACTGTACTTCTGCAGCCTTTCCTGTGTTGATATTTATTTATGTGTTTGCTTATTTATTGTTTCATTCATTAATTCATTTTTGGGTGCTAGAATGGAACACAGGACCTCATCCACACCAGGCAAGTGCTGTACCACACTGAGCTACACTCCCAGCCCATCTTTGTTGAGATATTTTAGTGCATGAAGCAAGTAAAGACTTTACTCAAATTTCCTAATAATATGGCAGGGAATAAGCCACCACCCAAGAGGTGCATTTTGTGTTTGTTGCATCTCTCTGAGTAGCCCAAGTTGTTTGCTCTTTCATGGCACAATGTAACTTTCCGCAGGAAATTTGCCAAAGAGAGAGGACTAAAATCTCCATTTAAAGGAAGAAAGAAAATGATGAGTAAACTATTTGGAAAGTCATTAGTATATATAGTACCTGGTAGCACTGGAGACTCTGCAGCAATAAATTGAAAGATTTAAGTTTCGTTTTTCCCCTGTCACTGTACTTTTTATTTGTTTGTTTTTGTGCTGGGGCTTGAACCCAGGACACTGCACGTGCTAGCAGGCACCCAAGGCCATCATTGTAGTTTTATAATGTCCCTGCAAAAGTATTCATCATTCTGATTCACAACAGTGAAACCCCTGAACTTTTACCTATCTTTTTTTTCTGGGTTCTGAATCTAAATCCTCCTCCAATTCTAATCCCATCTTCCATAAATCTAATTATCTTTATTTTTTCTGATTTTTCAGATGAGAAAAAAATCTATAAAATGTGCTAGATATTAAAGGATATGAGAAAGGCAAATACTATTTCATATTTTTCCCTTCTTTCAACCTTGCAAGCCCATTTTAGATTTCTCTGCTGGCATTTCTGCTTTAAATCTGTAGGAGTTCTCTGCTGTCCTTTGGTATTTTAGGATTGTCTTCTCTTATTGGAAGATGGTGCCTGTGGGCTGGGGTGAAGAAGAGGGTTACTCAAATGCTTTGCTTGAATACATCCTTTGTAAATTGATTGCTATGTCATGGGTATGTATCTGTATAGTTTGTATAATCCTCTTGTATATTTCTGTTTTATGTCTCATCGGTTGATAAATTGTGCTAGTAATGCTGCAAGAAACCCACCCCAACTCAGGGATGACTCTGTGTTATGAGATCAGATTAGTTTATCAACAAGCATGAGGGGATGTTTAGGAATACAGGGCATACCCTCTTATGTATTGCTAGGATCCTAAAGTCAGTGTGCTGGGCAAAAGTCCCTTGGAGTCAGAATTACTCTTAAGTCTCTTAAATTTCCCTGGACATCACCATGTCCTGAGCTCTTGGATGCTCAGAAGCAGAAAGTAACTTCATTCCCTTCTTTTTGCATGCAGTCTGTGGCTCTGGATGAGGGAAATCCAAGATCCTATTGCACGAGGGTGGAGGGGCAGTGATAGATCTCTGGGTGTATGCATGTTCTGATGTAAGGTGCCAAGTGTTTTTAGCACAGATTGTTGCAACATGGCATCAGTGGCTGGCGCCTTAGGCCTTGGTCTCTGGAACTTAGAACTTGGATCTCAGGCTTCAGTTCTCTTTTTCACTCACTGTATTGTTAACACTCATCCATAACTCTCATACACCCTAATCTCCAATTTGGAGATTATATCCAAATTAGCAGGGTATGTGATGACTAGGTATTCAGAGTCATTTTGAAAGTAGTTGACAACAGAATGTGTATTTATCTTAGAAGCAGGTCTTTGGCTAATAGGTAATGAGAAGTAGTTTTACTATTGTGGTTTATGTCTCCCTCTCTCTCCCTTTAATTTATCTTCCTTATTTCTTTAATTTTCATTTTCTAACTTTCAGATTTCCTTGTCTGGCCCCTAAAGTTGTGGATCTCCATTTTATGTTCACTTGTCTTGTCAAGCCCACCATCTCTAGCATCCCCATCCCACTCCACTGAATGGCATGCTAGACCTTGAACACAGCAGAAAGTTGGGTTTCATGATGTCCCTTGGCCTTTGCTGATATTGCTCCTCCATTAGGGATGCTTCTTCCTTTCTGTGCCTCTGTCAAAGTCTACCTGGAAGTCCCCTGATCCCCCACATCTCAGTTAGGATGGAATTTGTTATCCTGTGTGCTTTTCTAGCATTTGGTTTGAGTCACGTACAGTATTCATCATCATCTGAGTTAGGTAGCATCTCCCTTGGGACCAACATGTATGTGCAGAAAAGCAAGAGCAGGGGCTGGCTAAAGACTGTTATCTCTTTGTCATTCTGTGAGCTGCTTCTCACATAATAGAATGCAGTGCAAACTTATGGGGTTAAGTTAATATCAATAAACAAAAATAAAAACCTTTGTATTAATCTGATAAGTCTGCTGTAGCAAAGTACCACAGACTGGGTGATTCAAACATCAGAAATTTGTGTGTTCACAGTTCTGGAAGATCAAGACGTTGGCATGGTTGGTTTTTCCTGAGACTTCTTGCTTGCAGGCGGCTGCCTCCTTTTTTGTGTCCTCATATGACTCTTCTCTGTGCTTTTGTCCCTAGTCTCCCTTTGTCCCAATCACCTCTGCTTGAGAACAGCAGTCACATTGGATTAGGGCCCACCCTAATGGCCTTAATCACTTTGGATAATTAATTTTAACCTAGTTCAAGGTTCTGACTGCAAATACTGTCACATTTTGAAATACTGGGCTTAGAGCCCCAACATAAATTTTGGGGCAACCCAGTTCAGCCCACTAACAACCTTGTGTACAAATCTGATGACCTCTTGGGAAACACAACACAGAATGTCATATGGACAGCAGTCCTGCCTTAGTAATGTTTCCCCTGTGTTTCCATGTAACTTTTCTCATTTATATTAGAAAGTTTCATGCTTGCCTATATACTTTAATTTGGATTCTTTTGCTAATAGTCCCAGCCTTCATTTGGATCAGATAAATTCTTGGCTATTCAAAGTGTGGTTTGTGGATCATCATCAGCAGCGTTATCTGGTACCTGTTCAGAAGTGCATACTTTAGCTGGTGGAATGGCTTAAGTGGTAGAGCACCTGCCTAGCAAGTGTGAGGCCCTGAGTTCAAACCCCAGCACTGCCTAAAACAGAAGTGCATAGTTTGAGTGAATCCTTATTGCAGACTTTCTGAAATAGAATCTGCATGTCAGTAAGATCTGGATGATGTGTTTATATCTTCAAGTTTGAGTGCTGATGCAGACATGTCATGTGAGGAAAGGTAGAGCAGTCTTGGGCTTCTTCGCCCTCAGATCCATTCTTCTCCTTCTCCTCCTCTCCCCTGCAGCTGATGTAGATGGGCTGCCCTTCCTCAGGCTCCTGTCAGACTCCCTGTGAGAGATTGAATAGAGCAACAGACCTCACCTCTTCCCCCTGAAATCCCTATGGATCTTTAGTGGCAGGTGCCTCTTCTCCATTGCCCCAGGTTCTGCCAGAGAGTATTGGCCTGTGGTGGGTGCAGTTGTGCCTGGTGACATAGCCCTGACCTCTGAAAACATCCCCTACTCTCTGCCCCTAGTCTAGTGGTAATGCCAGCTTTCTGCTGTCGCTTGTTGTGGGTGACCTCACTGTCTTGGAGGCTTTCCAGTGCTTCTTTTAGCTGAGTAGCCAGTTCCCTTTGCTACTCCCTTGGGTTTAAATATGAAGTGGTTTCTGTTTTGTGATTAGTCCTTGTCTGATACCCAGGTGTGCTCCACATCCATTCTCTTGGCTGTATTGCAGCCACTTAGGACCTGGTGTGTTAACATACTCCTCTTTTTGAGTCAGTCTTTCTGGTTCCCTCTTAGAATGCTGTCCCCATATGATTTCCATCCTGGCTGAGTTTGTCTTGACACTGGGAGGCCCCTCCCTGGACTT